GGAGACACGTCCGCGCAGCATGGTTTAGTCCTGTTAAATCCTGTTTTAGTCCTGGTTTAGACCTGGTTTTAGTCCTGGATTAGTCCTGGTTTAGTCCTGGTTTAGACCTTGTTCAGACCTGGTTTTAGTCCTGGTTTAGACCTAGTTTAGACCTGGTTTTAGCCCTGGTTTAGACCTGGTTTAGATCTAGTTTAGACCTGGTTTTAGTCCTGGTTTAGACCTATCTTAGACCTGGTTTTAGTCCTGGTTTAGATCTAGTTTAGACCTGGTTTTAGCCCGTTTTTAGATCTAGTTTGGTTTTAGCCCTGGTTTAGACCTGGTTTAGATCTAGTTTAGACCTGGTTTTAGTCCTGGTTTAGACCTATTTAGACCTGGTTTTAGTCCTGGTTTAGATCTAGTTTAGACCTGGTTTTAGCCCTGGTTTAGACCTGGTTTAGACCTGGTTTAGCCCTGGTTTACCTGGTTTAGACCTATTTAGACCTGGTTTTAGTCCTGGTTTAGCCCTGGTTTAGATCTAGTTTAGACCTGGTTTAGTCCTGGTTTAGACCTGGTTAAAAGATAGTTTAGACCTGGTTTTAGTCCTGGTTTAGTCCTAGTTTAGACCTGGTTTTAGTCCTGGATTAGTCCTGGTTTAGTCCTGGTTTAGACCTTGTTTAGACCTGGTTTTCGTCCTGGTTTAGTCCTGGTTTAGATCTAGTTTAGACCTGGTTTTAGTCCTGGTTTAGCCCTGGTTTAGATCTAGTTTAGACCTGGTTTTAGTCCTGGTTTAGACCTGGTTTAGACCTGGTTTAGTTTCCAGCAATGAGTGGAATTACCGAAAAAATAAATAAACAAATAAAAATAAAGTGAAAACAGGAAAATACCGCCGTGTAATCCATTTATTTCAACAAAGTAACTGTAATCCAATTACCACTCACTGAAACAGTAACTGTAACTGAATACAGTTACTCATAATTTGTACTCTGATTACGTGACTCCGGTACATGTAATCTGTTACTCCCCAACACTGAATACATGTTAACTTATACTTTCTTCGCTTTGGGACGACGTTTCATTGATGAATCTTGAGGTCAAATGAAGTCACCTGTTAACAGTTTGCATCTAATTTCAAAGCGTTTTGTCGTCCGAGACTCAAACACAGGTGCTTATTTGAAATATTAGAAAAGTGAATCTGTGAGTAAATATATTTTCATTAACCCTTACAGACTATTCGGGTTAAATTTGACCCGTTTTGACATTCAACAGTAGTAAAAATACACTAAGCATCATTCTTTGATCCTGAAATGTGATTATTTTTTCTAAATTTTGCCAAAATACACAAAAATGAAAATATTAAAAAATTGTATACTTTTATATACCACTGCTTTCAATGCAATGGCAAGTTTGAAATACGCATAATGGCTGCAGTGGATAAAACTGGTTATATTATAAATTCCAACAGTTCCAGAATATTTATGTCATTTTCAAATACAGTAAATATCATCATCATATTGGCTTTTATGTTTTTATGTGTTTTTATGTGTTTTGTAAAACAGGACATGATACTGTGTGATAGCAGATGTTTTTCTCCAAAAATGAGTGTTGCTCTTCCTGCTCTCTGAAACATTATATTTATATATTACATATATTTATTCATGTGGGACAGTCTGTTTATCTGGTATAGACACTTACTGTAAGGGAATTCTTGGACCGGGTCAAATTTGCCCTGGACCATACTGTGAAAGCTAAAGAAATGAACAGTATGTAAGGGTTAATTGACGTTTGGTGATTCATGTTTTTTAAAAGCTCCTTCAGTCGAGGCGAGTGGCTTAGCTCCAGGTTTTGAGTGGCAGAACAAGCGCCTATATCGTTAAGAGCAGAATTTAATTAGTAGGTTTTTTGTTTCCTTATTTACACTACTTTTGATATTGATTAGTGCAATATTTCTCATCACATTTGCAGTTTTATTAATTACAAATCATGCTTGGTGGTCAAATTTGTCTTGCCCAAGGACACAATGGCAGTATTCATCTGTGGAAACTGTGGATTTGACCGATATTTTAGAAATGAAATTATGTTTTTTTAATTCTAAATTACTCTTCTGAATTAAAATATTGTCCTTCGAGTTTACATGGAAATAATCATTCCGAATTGAGGTTTGCACAGAAAACACGTTAAATCGTCTTTATTTAATTTCGCTCAGCGTCTGGGGGTGGGGAAGGGTTCTGATTGGACAGAGACACGAACGTATTTACGTCGACCGTAAGAAAACACACACTTCAGCTGCTACCGGCTTTTTTGTTGTCTCGATTTGTTGTTACGCCACGGACACAAACATGATCCAAACTTTTTTCACAGTAATTCCGATGATAATTAAACAGGAGCTTGGGAATTCTCTCATTACGCTTTACGTCTGTCGGCTGAGGAGGAGAAGGGAGGAAGAAGACAAACCGAGTCAACGGCTGCTCTACCTCAGCCCACTACCGCATCCCGCCCACAAATCTAAAGAGACGTGGATGAAAGTCCGAAGCCAGGACTGGTGGAGCCGGATCACGTCAGGAGGTCGACTCAACGAGCACACGCTGGACGACTGGAATTATTTTTAAGAAGAAACGTTTACATGACCGAGGAATAAATTAATTTGTCTTTAAAATCGGAATAAACCACCCACTTACTTCATTTTTGTTTGAAATTAAGTGTGTACGTGACCTTTTTAAAGCAGAATACATTTTTATTCAGAGCCAGAGGAAAGAATTGGTTTGAGAGGGGAATGAAAGAAGCAATTTTTGTTAAAAAAGAGGAGTCTTCTCTAAACAGAAACGGAGGAATCAGCCACCATCTATCTCCTATTTACAACTTCATCCTCAAACCTAAATCAAAACAAACAAGAGAACAACAGGTGTGTCCAGGTCAGGTCCAGAGGTGTGGAAGCTCCATTATGGCCATGAATTGTTCTGCTAATTAGACCCCACACCCTGTACAGGTCAATAGGCCGAACTAACAAACAGAAACTGTAAATAAGTAGGTATGTTAGTTTCAGAGTAGTTTCAGTGTAGTTAGCTCCTCCCTGCAGACAGATATAATGAAGTGTCCACCAGCGTCTGACCAGAACTGAAGAAGCAGCTTGGATGAGCCTGCGAAACGTCTTCAACCAAACTAACTTTTGTCCAGTCGACAAACTGAATTTTCTCCTCGACATTTTTTATTCAGAGTTAAATTATTTTTATTCGGAATTAAAGCTCGCATGAAAACGTGGCAAGTGATTTTAAAATTATATTCTCTTCACCTCTCTTAACCTCCACACTTGAATGAACTCTTGTCTGTTCGCAATTCAAACAGGGTCGCAAGGTCAACAAACCAAATAACTCCTGCCGGAAGTCTCCAGAGGCAGACTCAAATACGGAGGTGGAAGTGACGAGGCTTTTCTGTCACTGGTCCCGGACTCTGGAACAAACTGACCCCGATATGTGGACCATCACAGACTTAGGCCTGTTTAAATCCAGGCTCAAAACTCATCTATTCATCTAATGCAGTGACACTTTGCCCAATTAGTTTTTATTTCATTGTTTAATGTTTTTACATGTTTTTACTGTTTTGATTTTACTGTGAAGCACTTTGGTGACCTTGAGTGTTGTAAAGGGCCTTTAAATAGCGTCAGTCCTCGCTGTGGTTGGCCTCTCCCGGAGCTCGCCCATCCTCACGCTATGAGCTGCCTCCTGCTGGCTCCTACGCCGATTTGTTAAAACTGCACATAGGTGTAGGGAATGTGCAATTAAAGCTACACATAGGTTTAAGGAATGTGCAATAATTAATCTGCACATAGGCTAAGGGAATGTGCAATAATTATAACTAAAACTGGACATAGGCTTAGGGAATGTGCAATCAAAACTGCACATAGGCTTAGGGAATGTGCAATAATTATAACTAAAACTGCACATAGGCTTAGGGAATGTGCAATAATTATAACTAAAACTGCACATAGGCTTAGGGAATGTGCAATCAAACCTGCACATAGGCTTAGGGAATGTGCAATAATTATAACTAAAACTGCACATAGGCTTAGGGAATGTGCAATAATTAATAGAACAGAAGAATGCAAGGGTTTGCCTGTTAAGGATAATGTAAGGGTCCTGTTGGTGCATCACTCGTGGTCATACTGGTCTCATATTTACTTTGTTTTATGGTGTTTGTTTATGTGCTGCTTTGTGTTGTGTTGTCCTGTTTTTTGATCAAACATGTTACCCCCTGTCCCAAGACAAATTTCTCCCATGGGAGACAATAAAGGATTATCTTATCTTATCTTATCTTGTTAGCTTTTTGTTAGTCTAGCCTTATTTTTGTTTGCCCAGGTGAGTCCGGACGTCTGTTTTTGTTTGTTATTTTATGTAGGGACAGTTTGTGGGTTGTGTTTTCATTAGGGTAGGTCCTTATTTTACGTTGGCCGACTCACAAGGGTCTTTTCCTTTTAGGCAAGGGTTAAGGTTTTTTTTCTTGGTTCTAGATTCCAACATACAAAACAGAAGAAGAAAAAAAAAAGTAATAATAACTTTGTTTTCCGTGTCCCTTCCTAAATATGTTTGGATCTATTTTGGGTCGTAACAAGTGGGATTCGAACTGGAAACCTTCAGATCAGTGGGCGAACACTCAGTAATGCTCAGTAGCTCCATGACAATTACAACTATGACTAGTTTAGTAGAAAAAAATAAGGTCTTTCAAGCTTGACTCCCAAAATTGAAAACATGTTTAAGTCGTAATAACTTTAAGCTAGAGAAATGGTGCCACATTAGACACAGAGAATGAAAGAAAATGAAGATTTGTTGTTGTTTTGATCATTTCTACCGCAGACTCACTGTATTACAACAAAAATCCAGAGTTTCACAATATTTATTTTAGCTGCCCCCATCTGTATGAAATATGATTGTGCTCTAGATGTTGTGGTGTTATCTGAAACGCAGTAACAGCACAGGCTCTTTCATGTTCGGGTGCAGGAGGGAGCGGTAAGGTTCGGCGAGGAGTCTTACCGGAGCAGTGGCTGTCGGAGCGGAGATGGAGGAGGCGGCGGGGGGTCTCCGTCTTGGATCTGCGCGGGCTTCTTCGTCACCTGTTTGTAGATGTTTCGAGCCGTGACCCCGAGCCACAGCATGGTGGATAGAGACGAGTAGTGCAGCACCACCCCCACCTGCGCAGACAGAAAACAGGGACAGTGTGATTTTAGAGAACACAGAGGAGCTTATTTTCATTTCATTTGTTTATGATGACAGCCCAACATTTTATAATATCACAGAATTTGAAATGAAGTGAACCAATACCAACAGAATTAGCAAACTAGTAAAACATGTAATGGTAAATATCCAGGTACCATATTTTTTGGTCTATAAGTCACTCCAGAGTATAAGTCACACTTTTTGGGGGAAATTTATTTTATAAAGTCAGAGACCAGGAATCGACATTTCATCTTAAAGGGCAAGTTCTAGTAATAACAATAGAACAGAGAACAACAGACTGTTAACGTCACATATGAACAGTTCTTCAGATAAACTATAACATAAACAACAGAACAGAACAAGTTTACCAAACTCTCCATCTCACTCCAGATCACTAAATCCATTAAATTCTTCATCCTCGGTGTCACTTCTGAGCAACTCCGTGACCTCCAGAGGTAAACTGAGCGTCGCTTCCTCTTCTGTGTCGCTGTCGTCAGACTCAGCATCAGTTCCAGTTAGAAATATTCTGGCCTTTCTGAATCCCAACAGGATGGTTTCGATTGTCACTGAAGTCCAGGCTTTGTTAATCCGGTGACTTCCAGGAAAGTTTCTTGGCACAGCCTCCCAGTGTCTACCTTCTCACTCACGCCAAACTTTCTTTCTGCTGCTCAATTACTACTTGCAGCTTGTAATCTGCAAAATATGATTTCTTTTGAGGGGGCATTCGTATTCTCAGTTGTCTTTATATGTTTTGAAATGTTCAGTGGTGCAGAAGTAATGTTGCGATCGACTGACGTGATACAGACAGGACAGAGGCTCTTTCTGCAGGAGACATGCGCAGTAGAGTGAAGTGACAGTGGTACAGGAGGAACAGGAGCAGCAGATACTGACACACAAGACTAAAGTCAGTGTGAAAATTTTAATATACAAGTCACACTGGAGTATAAGTCACAGGAAACACTCAAACCATGAAAAGAAGTGCAACTTGTAGTCCGAAAAAAACTGTAATAAGATCACCAAAATCAGATTTAAAGGTAAAGTGTCTTTAATTTCAGGTGTAACTTCAAGTGGAGGGTCTGTCAAACTGTGGAACATTCAAAGCAGAGCAATGACATATCCATGAAAACAAGAAGGCGATGGACCCCGAACCAAAAAGTTACACAATGCACCTTTAACTAGCTACTGGACCATTTATGATAAGAGCAAACAGCTGTGGTTCCATGAGATGTATACTTTTAATTGTAAGTATAGAGAGCTTTTTATTTGATACATTATGCTATGTTCGATTTGAATGAAAAACAAAAAAAGGTTTAAATCATACAAACTTAGAAAATTGTAAAATTTTCTGATAAGCACCAGGTAAACTGTGATCTTTCTGTGATTTTCAGACTGCGAGTTCAATTTGATCACAATTCATGTAGACTTTGTAATTTTCTATTGCCTTGAAAAGATAAATATCATCATCTGCTTCTTCCAAAAATCCACACTTCCCTGTGATTGGTTGGTTCCAGCTGTCACTCACTCAGAGCCTTAGAGAAACTAACCAGTTAGAGAAGTGGATGGGGACAAGAGTGTTTGAGCAGACAGATGCATTTAACAGAGAAAAAAGAGAGCCACAAAATGACCAAAACAACAGATGGACACAGGGATGAGTTCATGATTCGATTTTTATCACCGTCTTACCCGGCGCTGAATCTGATAGTCTCCGAGTTTCAGTTAAGAACTCCACAGCTGTGAAAACGTCTCCCTCTAGCGCATTATCAATGTCACTCCAAGGTCCACTGCTCCAATTAGGGCTGAGTGATACCAAAAAATAAACCAAAATAAATAAAACAAAACAGACCTTTAATCAGCGCCATTTAAAACAAAAATGTCTGTAGAGCCCTCGATTAAAGCGCCCATGTTACGCCATTTTCTGATGTTATAATCATGTTTTCTCATCAAAAACAAACCTGGAGCTGTGATTTCTCAAACAGAAAACAGACATCACGACTGTTCCAGCTTGTGATGTCATGTGTTGAGTGCTCCACTGTGTTTTTAAACTGCACACATCTTCACTAGAATCATTCAGCCCTGGAATTGTCCATCTTTACTGAACAAAGGTAAACGATAGCTCTTGGGGCCCATTCAGTCATTTTTGTTGTGGATGCAGTGTTTGTCCACACTAACCCGATGGAAAATGGCTCCACAGATGGAACGATCTGGTGCCGCCAGCTCCCACGAATTCATGCACTGTGTTGACGCCTGAAAATGCCGATATGCTGACGTAGTTCTATGCGCCGCGAAGTAATTCACTGCCAAAATGCTAAGAGGCTAGAATATATGTCCATTCCTATTTACGGTCTGTGCGTACGACCTGCAGACGTATAATCTCTGAAAAGTTTAACATGAACCATCTCCAATGCAACAGAAGCACAGAACAGACTCACCATCAGCACAGACACCAGTCCTCTGTCACAGCAAATGAGCCAGTACACATATAATCCACCGAGTCGCGTCCTTTAGTTTGACAGAAGCGGAGTAGTTTAGAGCTTAGTTTATGCAAATTCCAAGCCATGCCGTTTTAAGTTTAATCAGTTTCGTTTCTGTAAAACGTAAACAAATATGCTCAAAGCTGTGTGGATAGGGAAGACTTGAGGACACAGAAACGATGTACCTGGATGCAGATCGTTTCCGATACGGTGATTCGTTTCAGTGTAAACCTAGCCTTAGTTGAAAACTCTCTCTGCATGACATCACGAGGTAGACCAGAGCATTTTGAGCTTTAAATATGTAGACAGACTAATAATAAAGAGTTATTCAAACATGTGTGAATGAACAAAAACAGAACTCCAGGTCTGTTTTTGATTAGGTAACCACATTATGACATGTCCTAAAGCTCTCAAGAGACAATTCTGCGTAATATAAGACCTTTACAAATGCCACACTGTATTGAATGTCGGTAATCGATAAATCCGAGTCCGAGTTCTTCCAACATTCATTGCAACAGTTGGGGAAAATATGGACGCCTGAGAAAATCAAATGTTTATTTTGATAGCTTATGAATCCCATATACACAGTATGTAGAACGACATTTGGGACAGGCTTCGTATCACTAGAGCTACTAGGAACTCAACCCTCTGACTGAATCCTGTGGAGTTAACGTCTTAGAGGATGTTGGATAACGTTAGCTGTCAGCGACTCAATTTTGGCAGTTTGACGATTACATGTTCAGTAAAAACACTTCTGTTTACTGTCAAATGATGTGAAAGAAAATCTAAATGTCAATACAAACTTTTTAGAAGACACTTTCTCTACACATACAGTAACCAGGTTGGTGCCACCTAGTGCCTCCGCTCAATTTCATTTCTCTCCAGCGACTAGATCAGGAATCAGAATACACTAGACGGTTCGCAAAAACCCTTGAAGTGCAAGTTCGGGCACCAGCCAATCAGAGAAGAGCCGTACATTCAGTGTTGGCAATGATTCCGAAGATCGAGGATTTAAAGGGAATGTTCGGGGAATTTTATCAAGGTGAAAGACGTTATTGCATTTCTTCCTACAGGTTTTGCAAAAAGCTTAATATACCAGTTAGCCCAGTTAGTGGCGCATTACATATGCCACGACCAAATACCAGCAATTGGTTAAAATTAAAAAAGTACTCGCCTACCGTTGAGCAAATGAATCCTATTGCTGCGAGATCAGACAGTTTCTACGATGTGAAACCGGCTGATGAATCAAGCTACACGTACACAATTTAACATATCAAAATGACAAAAAGACAATTCTCCCCGTTTACTGTGAGCTCCGACATTTTTGCCGCGACGTAAATCCAACAAACTCGGTCTGCTCCGAACAAGCCTGAGTTTGTGTTTCGGAAACCCTGCTTTGATCGGCTGTTCCACTGGACTTTCTCGAGGTGGATGTTGGTTTTCCCCGAGTCCCGAGCCCAAGATTATGCAGCAAAAGATCCATAAAACACACCCAACAAAATGATAACGATTTCCACACGGGGACTAAACTATGATCTGCTACATACATTTCCTCCTGAAGCAATTCTCTCCAAGTTTCAGCGAAGAACTCAACATCTGTTAAAACTCTCTTTACTGCGTTATCAATGTCACCCCAAGGTCTTAGTGTTTCTTTAAAACACAGCTCTGTCTTATCAGTCTGAGAGAGAACACTGCCACTGTTTTCAAAGTGCTATTGAGCTCTGAAGGTTGTCTGGATGAGAGCGCTCCGCTGGGCTCCACTGGTGAAGTCTTATCAGGGCAGCTGGAGGACACGCGTGGACAGACACGAATGTGAATGATGGTCACCTTGGCGACTATCGCGAGTGATGGATTTCCAAAAGGCACTGTACACATAGATATGGCTGTTTAAATATGCATGAGGCAAACTTTGTCTAAGGGCTTACAGTGCAGCGAGCGGAGGTGACAGAACAACAAGGAAGCAGCGAGGATTATTTGGGAAACAAGTGTTGGGTGCATCATGTATCATTGTCGTAGTTGTTTATTTTCTGTGTGTAATCTGTCACTTGTTAAGGTAGGTTCCATTGTAATTTTTCATCCTTTTTTTCACTGAAGAAAAGTTTTCAGAGGTTCTATATTACGCAAAAAGGACTCTTGTGGTTAAGGCTGCTCGATTATGGAAAAAAAAACATTATCATGAATCATTATCATTGAAATCACGATCATTCTAGCCAGGCTGGTGCCACCTAGTGCCTCCGCTCAATTTCATTTCTTTCCAGCAACTAGGTCAGGAATCAGAATACACTAGATGTTTGCAAGAACCCCAGAAGTGTGAGTTCGGGCAGCAGCCAATCAGCGAAGAGTCATACATTCTGTGTTGGTAACGATTCCCAAGATCGAGGATTTAAAGCCGTAACAAAGAGAATGTTTGGAGAATTTTATCAAGGGGAAAGACATTATTATTGTCCTTCTTCCTCTGGGATTTGGGAAAAGCTTAATATAGTTATGCATTACATACATGATTA